GGGGCACCTGGACCTCTTCAGCCTCCACAAGAGAAGGTTGAGAGGCGACCTTGTGCCTGCCTATAAATTCATGATGGGAATGCAGAAGGGAATTGGTGAGGCTCTACTCAGCAAGGCGCCCCTGAGGGTTACAAGAAATAATGGCCATAAGCTAGCAGGGAGCAGATTTAGACTAGACATTAGAAAGAACTTCTTCACAGTTAGAGTGGCCAAAATCTGGAACGGGCTCCCAAGGGAGGTGGTGCTCTCCCCTACCCTGGGGGTCTTCAAGAGGAGGTTAGATAGGCATCTGGCTGGGGTCATCTGAACCCAGCACCCTTTCCTGCCTATGCAGGGGGTCGGACTCGATGATCTATTGAGGTCCCTTCCGACCCTAACATCTATGAATCTATGACTAATACTGTGCAGTAGCGCAGTAGCACTGTTTATACTGTGACATGCTACTGTGCAGTATTATTACGCTACTGCGCAGTTAGTGTATCATGTAGATGCACCCACTGTATGCAGAAGGAAAAAGAATGAACCTCCCTTCTCTTTTGTTTTGTTTCTTTTTTTTTTCCCTTTAATATGTATTCAGGGGAAAATGGAAAAAATATATATCTTGCAGGTAATGTTCTTGATCTGACCATTGAGAGATGAAAGAGCTATGACAGTTGTTACCTACAGGACAAGTCAGCCCTGCTTCAAGAGCAGCAGGCCTCAAAGGTCACCAGTACTGTTAGTATTATGATGAACTGAAGAACAGCAATGAGGAACTGAGTGCATACATTTACTGTAGAGCTGTTATTTGCTAGGAGAGGAAACTCATGAATTCTGACAACCATGATCCATCTGTTGAATCATTGTGGTAATGGATGCTTCCATTGAGTGCATGATAGGTTTGTCCTAGTTAGGTAAAGAAACAGCTTGTGTGTTCTGAGTCTGCAGTGGGGAAGGAAAGCAGTACTGGGGGCATGCCTGACACTAGTACTCTTTGTCATCCTTCTCTTCTGCTTTTAGCACCACCCTTCTGCTTTGACTAGAAAAAGTAGTAGCAGCATCACTCATATTTTCTCTTCTTTTGTCTTTTCCACCCTAGCCAATGGCAAAAAGGAAGGAAAAGTAAATCTAAATGGGAGGTAGCAGCATGGGTGTCTGTTACTATTCCCATCAATTCTTTAATGACAAACCTCACAACAGTTTCCCTTATGCCGCTGTATATCCAACAAAGATGATTATAGTGGGAAATGCAGTCTTTTTAATTAATGGGGTGGATGCGGAGTCAAGGTTACTGATTTTTAGCTGAGCCTTTTTTAAAAAAACAATTCTGCCCAGGAATTTTCAGAGGGTCAAAAATGAGACTACAGATTTCAGAACAAAGTAGTCAAGTGTGTCCTCTTCTGAGCCACTAATTCTATACATGTATCTCTGACTAATTCTAAGAGCTCACTGTAGTTACCTTTGACTGTGGTAACGTTATTGTTACCACCACACTTAGTATCTAATGCGTTCTGTACTTCTTTAGTCAGTGTCACTGGAATGTGTATATTAGTGTTTCTCCTTAAGAGATCCTTCGCACCCCTACATGTTGGGTCTTTTCAGGATGGTTCAGTTGGTACATGTGTAGAAAATGGGCAGCTTAAACTGGACTTCTTTGTCAGGGACCAAAGTGCTGACTGGATGTAAGAAACTACCAGTAGACACTGTAGCTATTTTTGCTTTGTTCACCCCTCTATTTCCAAGTTATGGATGACATCCAGGAAGAACCTAAATGTCAGGCTAACAGTCTCATCACAGCGTTCAATATCTGTATACCTTTTTGGCAGGCATGCCTTGCATCTTCCCTCAGTGCCACTCCAGTTCCCTTCCCTGCCTGATCCGCCACTCTGCTCTTTGCTTCCTGCCCTGTTCCCTGCCTGATGTACTGATCTGCTTTCTATTAATTGCCCTGTGCTCTCTTCCTGACCTGCTGCTCTGCTTTCTGCTCCCTGCTTTATTGGCAGCTCTGCTGCCTTACCACATGCCATATGCAGAGGCTGCCCATGTAAAAGTGGCCCCCATGCCACAGGTTGACTATCCCCTCTATATTCATTTCTATATTTGTTTAAAGGTGTTAAATTATGTGAGTAGTTGGAGATGATATAGAAATATGGCTAGATCCAGGATTTGGGTTAAATGCTAGAACTCCATATTGCATGTACTGATAGAGATGGAGAACAGGAGATAAGGGGAGGATTAGATTATCACCAGTGGCTTTGCAAGACTTGCTAACGAGGCTATTACAATCTTTTGAGTAACTGCATACTTGACCCCTGTATAGCACCAGTGAGACTACTCATCACTTCAGTGTACATGCTCCAGAAATTTTCACATTTCATTGGGATGAACCACTTGAGCAGCTCTCTCATGAGTTTGCTGTGACAACTGTGCACCAGAATGCTGAAGAGCCTGATGCTGAGGGGATGAACTGGGGTGCTGCAAGTGATAAGATTAAGCTATAAAGAGCAGAAAATCACAACCTTTGCATGAATCACTGCAGTGAGCACACTGTCTACTAAGCCTTTATTGCACATTTAATGGGCTGAGACCATCCAGGCAGAGAGCATTTTGCAGATCTTTGGCCTGCTCAGTTTAGCTATCCCACTCTTAGCTTCCATCAGCCCAGCTGCAGAGGCATAACAAGGAAGATGAATGCCCAGGGCAGTGGTGAAGCATGGGGATAGTGGCATTTTCTGTCTGCCTCTGTGCTGCCAGCATGATCATGCAGCTGTGGTGACACCTGTTATTTTTCCACTCCCCCGTGGCCTCACGCTACGTTGACACCCAGGGGTGCAACCACAGCCACCTCATACCTTAGTGATGCTACTGCGGACATGTAACTACCTCCTTTGCTGTCCATGCATCCTCACCTGCTTTCTTCAGAGCTCACTTAGCATTGCTGATGCTGTGATGTGACTGGATGTGGAAGGTATGCATTAGCTAGCATTTCTCAAATGCAGTGTCTATCTTTTGGGTTATTTGGTTGTAATTACTCTTTCTTTTTCTTTCTGTTTTTTTAAAATCTGAAGAACTTTCCATATATGTTTTTAGAAAAGATTATTTTACACAGAGCTATTATAATTTGGGAACTTCTGATAGATGTGTAGCTTATAGTGGTTCTACATAAAATGTCAGAGACCGTGAAAGACACTTGATGACCAAAGAGTTGTGATACCATTAACTCCCCATGGCTCACCATTTTGAATGGGAGATTTCCAAGTCACATTTCTGGAAAATGTCCTGCCTGAGCAATGTTGATTATTTAAATTTAACACATAGTAACTTAAAAAAAAAGCTCCTTGAAACTTAAAAAAAAAACCAAAGAAGAAAAAGAAACCAATAAACCAGCACACTAAACAGAAAAACAGGGTGATTTTCTTGGACGGTGCATCCTGAAATAAATGTGCATGGTACATGGCTTTGTGAGCTGTTTCCTTTTCCTGGGAGAAACTGCCCCTTCACTTACTGTGCATGCTTTTGGCAGTTGCCCTTTTGTCCTCAGGATTTCTTCAATAACTGAAAGGAAATCAGTTATTTGGTGTGCCTGGAATGCTGCTGTTCTCTAGAGCCTTTCATATAAATCAGCCATTTCTACATTTCATTGCTTTATAAAGCAAGCTTGATTATATTTATGCCCCTTTTGAACTGATACAGGTAGAAAAGGGGTCGGTTGTGACTGTTCCATCTCTCCCTGTTACAACTCCTTTAAGCCATTCTCCTTAATAGAGGGTTTCTAGCCTTTCCCATCTGGAGTTCGACATCCTCTCTCCCACTGCCTTCCCTGCAGGGGGAAGGGGCTCAAGTATGTCCTTTGCTTCCTTCAGATCTGTAAGAAAAGACTTGCTTCAGCTTCATGTGAGGGCAGCTGGAAGGGAGAAGCTGATTTCCCTTGTTTGTTCTGTCTGGCCCTGCCTCCACTTCTCAGCCTGTTAGGGAAGTGCTGGGCCAGGTGTTCACCACAGTTGTTGCATTAGGAAATGGCCTTCCTGCCTTCCATTAGAGCCAAAATCCTGTTACCCGTGAGAGGTTTGTGAGAGTTGACGGTCTGGGTTTCTTCCTGGAGGGCTGTGCCTGTTCCAGGGCTCCAGTCCACCCTACAGCACCTTAATATCAAAGAAAAACTTTTTCTTGTTCCAATCCAAGTGCACTTTTCCTTGCAAATGAAATTTTCCTCCATTGCCTCTATGCCCAACCCTCCTGGATTTCAGCAGTTTGATTTGTGTATAGTGATGTGTTGGGTTGCAAAAGTATGCAAGGCCATTGGTATCAACACGGCAGCGGACCTTCCCGTAGCATTACTGTGGTGTTTCTCTATATCTTTGAGGGCTTATCCAAAGTAGTTTGTTTCTTTCTACCTTCTCTATTTGTGGTTTTTTGTGGTGGGAACCCCTGACCTGACACGTCTCCTGATCATTGTGGGAGAAGCCACTAGCCTTGTGCTTCTCAGTCAGAATAAATTATTAGGGGTGCTTTCATGAGCTGTGTATCCTTATCTTTAAGCAAAATGACCAGTCAGAATAATACATTTGACTGTTAGCCTTCTGGTTATATTTTTAGAATCTCTGTGTTAATTTTAAGTGTGTAAATTATTCATGTGTCTTTGACCATTTAGTAATGGTTACTGCCTTTTTACTGGATAAAGACTTTTTGGATGGATTTAAATAAAAATCCCCAAATGAGCACTTTTTCTTCTGTTTTCTTCCTTTGAAATTGTTTAAAGCTAGGGAAAG